GAAGTTACTTCATTACCTTACTTTTAGATGTTTGAAAGTGATATGACAGAATAAGCATGATAACACTTAAGAGAGTGTAATAATTTACTTTAATGCACAGATGGAGAGCCTGGGACCAGATGGCAGACCTGGCTATGACCACGTCGTCAGGTTAGCCAACAGTCTGGTGGACCTCAGGCATGAGGGGTTCATTACACAGCAGAAGGTGGAGGAGATTGTGACTCTCTGGGATAAACTGTCAGAGTTTGACAAGGGTGCTCTCATCTACCCAGCTCGCCACCGCGACAGGCTGGTGAAGGGGCGCTTCAAAGTCAGTCATTCTGTGACGAATGTGACCCCTGGAGCTGACAGTTTGAAGCGGTATGTGTCCATGTTTGCCAATCAGTTTGTATAATTTGTATTTAATATGTTTTTCATATATTCATCAAATAATCTACTTAACATGAATTTTTTTTTATTTTTATTTCACAGCTGCTTCCTTGGTGGAGGCAGTGGACCTGCTCAGTGGCCCAATGCCAGCCGTCTTGTGGAAGCAGTCTGCCTGGCTCTATGCAGAATTTACCCCGCTGGTCAGACAGTGGCTGGTGTCAAGGTAAACAGGTGGGCTGTCATTCTGCGTGACTACAGGATGATAACAGATGTAGTCCTGGACAGCCCCAGACTCATGGCTGAAACAAGGTTGCAGCTGTTTGAGTTAAATCAGCACACTCTTTCACAATGGTAGGTTCAGTAATTAATTGTTCATGCACAATTGTTGTCATATACCACCCTTCTCTGCACGTGTACTAATTGTTATATTGTCTTTACATAGGCACAATGCACGGAAAAGGAGGCAGGAAAGGGAGGTCTTGGAGCAGAGCATTCAGACCTTTACCACTCCCTTGGTAGCCTCTGAACCCTTCCCACCTGTGCTGTATAAGCATCCGGAACCGGTCCGGCATGGGCACCAAGCCTATGAGTTCATCATTCCGGCGGATGCATCAGGACAGGCAGTACAGCGTGTTCGAGGCCAACCTCCTCCAGTGGGCTCAGCGTCAGCAGCTGTTGCCATGCCTGCTGCAGCACAGCTTGCCCAAGGACAGCCTCCTCCAGTCCAGGTGGGCTTTGCGGTCCCTGACCCTGCCCGCTTGCTTCAAGCTACAGCCACTGCAGCTATTGCTGTACCTGCTGCTACACCTCCCGGTCCAAAGGTGCCAAGGACCACAGCTTGGCGGCGGAGGAAGGCAGCGGAGGCAGCTGCAGCACAAGGTGCAACACCCAAAAAGAGACAACAGACTGAACAATACATTTGCCAAAAGTGTGGCCAACCAAAGACAAAGGAGTTTGGCCACAGTCGGTTCCGAGGTGCCCACTTTTGTGCCAAGGCATCTGGAAAAACTGTGGAGCAGTGGATAGAGGAGATGAGAAGGGGACAAAAATAAGTTATATATTGCATAATATGTATATACTGTTACATAGTTGAAGAGTTTTATATAGTTTGAGTTTTTATATTGTCGTTTCTTTATATATTTAATGTTAATAAAGATTGCCCTTTTCTCATTATATGTCTGTTTTATTAGATATTCATATTTATTGTGCATTTTGCAATCCCTACAGAATACCTATAGTAAATTGTCAGATGACTTAAAAATACTATTAAATATATACATCTTACTTTAAAAGTTCATTTATTTAAAAGAACATTGAAGATTTCACATTCAAGAATAATATTAAAGCACTTATACTGCTTTAAAAATTTACATATGGTTATATATTTTTTTTTAAGATTGATAAAACAATTAGGATTAGTATGAAAGCATGTTTACAAAAACAATAAACTGCCTCATAAATTGAAATAAATTTCATGTAATTATACTATTTAAATATAACAATGCTATTTAAATATAATGTTATAGATATTTGAAATATATGCAATTTTATTATATTTTTTAAATATTTTAGTAATTTTTTTAAATTTAAAATATAAGTGTCCTGAATGCCATTGATACATATGATATAAACAATACATTAGGTAATTGAAGAATTCGATTAAATAAAAACTAAAATTTGTAAAAAAAAATTTATTGTAAAAAAAAATTCTATAAATGTTAAATATAAATACAATAATATTACATATATTAATCAATAATAATATCAATAATATTAATAAAAATATCAATAAAAGTGTTTATGTTTACATATCTGCTCTAGTAGTCTTAGGAGTATCTCAGGTTAATAGCAGACCACAGCACTCAATTTAATTCAGCAGATATTTCATACAACTGAAATTGTTAAATTGTATTCATGCAAAACCATGATAAAACCTTGATATTCAGCATTCAGCACAAACATTAACAAATATTAACCATACATTATACAATTAAAAGCTTTCTATGCTGGATTGTACATCTCAGGTTGTACTTATGTTTAGCTCTACAAAACTGAAAAATCTATTACACACGTTTATTAACTTAAAGCTTATTTTAATAAAAGCTCTGTAAAGTCCTTGCAAATGTGTCCCTGCCACAAACTCAAAATCACTGTAATAAGAATAAGACTATCAAAAACTCTTTTTGCATGTCCATTAAGCCAGGATAATTTTTATTGCACACAGAAATTTCAAAAAATATTTTTTGTCATTTTACTTTTAATTTTTTAAAAATAAACAAAATCAGAACAAACTTAACACTGTGGAGAGCAAAAGGACATTTGCAGTGTGCGAACCATGCATTAAATAGCATGACTCTGAAGTGCCGTTTTCTTTTCCCTCGTTCTCTGGAACAACTCTCACAGACCTTCAGTGAGCATGCCTGCAAAAATTAAACAAAGTTGGTCAGCATTTGTGTGTGACAATTGCATGTGTTATTAATTGGCATTGTACACGTTTAAGGCCAAATATTAAGATAGAAGAATGCAAGTAGATTACCTGCCTTACAAGCTCCCTCACTTTGCCGACAGTTCCTTGGCTTGATGAGCCTGAAGCACCGCTACAGCCTCTTCAACCTAAACAGTGCAGAAAAGTGCAATGATCAAACAAAATCTGATCTTTGAGACTAAATGTGGAGTACATGTTTTGAGCGGGTGAACCTTGGAGTGCAGGGACTCTGGAGACTCGAGCATGTGCAGTAGTTCAGAGTTATCAATCTCCGGCAGCATGCCTGTAATCTTTCCCGCAAGAGTAGGATGCAAGGCCTGGATAAGTGGATACAGCCGCTCACCTGTATGGGATGCAAACAGTTTGGGAATTTTACTCATGTTATGAAGTAGTACATAGATTGTGTGCTATATTCCAAGTCTTCTGAAGCCATATGATAACTACCTGCTACTTTACACTAAATAGACACTGTAAAGTTTCGACAACTGTAGTTTTTTTTCAGTACTTCCATATATATATATTTAATTTAAAATATAAGTGTCTTGAATGCCATTGATGCATATGGTATAAACAAAACATTTGAGGTAATTGACAGAATTCAATTAAATAAAAAATTATTGTAAAAATTATATTGTAAATAAAAAAATTATAAAATATGAAATACAAATAGAATTATATTTTAATATTTGATGCTATTTAAATATACTATTCAATTTAAATAGATTTTTTTAAATAGATTGAATTTAAAGTAAATGACCATTAAAGTAAAATATAAATATAATAATAACATTTTCTGATTTAAATCACATTATATTCTGACAGCAGATCACTTCTTAAGCAGCACATGGCTACTTAATATGCATATGTCATGCCCCAGTAGCACATGGCTACTTATTATGCAAGTCCAGGCACCCTTCTTGACCCGCCTTCTAGACCCGCCTACTGAATTGTTCCAATTTTGGTGATTTCTTTACTTTTAGCAGCATGAGCACCTTACAACCCCACAGGTGGCCCCATTGGAGTTTTGAGGTCACTACCATGAAGTTCAAGGTCATGGAATGCTCCCAGGTGTGCCAGGGGCCCCAGAGGGGCTACAGAGAAGATCCATCAGGTTCCTGCAGACCAGCTTTTATTCCGTTGTTCCATTTAGCCTGCATTCTGATTGGCTCGGCGTCTGGCTGTTCCATTTGGCGCGCATCTTGATTTGGTCGTGATGTGTAGCCGGTCATTGGTCCTTTCCGAAGTTCCAAACAGTGCGCATCCTGATTGGTCAGTGGGCGGGATCACAACTAGCGCGATTTGCTAAATTGGGAAGAGGAGCTTCAGTGCTGTGTTTAGTGCTTTGTCAAAGCTGATTGTTGGATTATCACGTGTGCGTTTGACATTGTTTTTCACACTCAATCTGCACCATTTCGACAGAAGAGGTAAGAGCGAACAACTGTCCTTTTTTCATATGCTTCGCTCTCTACTGTAAGTGGTGAACGTCATGTAATTGCTGTCATGTTTTCGCAAGGCTGTGGTTGTCCTGTAGGTTTTAATCCACCGCAAATTATTATTTTGAAATAAACGCATATTGTCATTTGCATACATCTAGAGTATGACTGCATAAACATATTGGTTATGTGCTTTAATGTTTGTTGTACTGTTATACTTTGCAAGAGGGCAGATTAGTGAAAATGACCCAGCTGTGCTCTGTGGGATGAGGGACAGACAGCAAAGCTTAGCAAAATCATGAACTTCACACTCACTGGTGTCTGTATGCCTGTTTGGCCTCTGTTCTTTTGCTCTTTTTGTCTTAAATAAAATGTATTTGTCAATTAGTGTATTTTATATGTTGTTTTGCATTTATACTGACAGACTTTTAGTCTTAAATCAAGAATGTGGGGACAGAGAGGGCCGGGGTATGGGTTTACGTCTCTAACAGAGGATGCTGTACAGTACAGAATGTGTAGTGTTGGGGCTTGAGTTTACAGCCAGTCAGACTCAGTGAAACCGTTCACTCGTGTACCTCAAGTTCAGAGCAAGTTTGCGAAACTCTCAGCACATAAAGAGCAAAAGAACAAAGGCCAGACAGGCATACAGACACCAGTGAGTGTGAAGTTATAAAACAAATTATAAACAAATTTTTCACAAAACGTGGTTCGCTACATTGGGCACTACATTATCATTCAAAACTAAAAGCTCTTGTGTATAACTTGTGAATAACTTGGATAACGTATATCTTTATTTAATGATAGCAAGAATTTAAAGGGGTGGTTGATTGCGATTTCACTTTTTTAACGTTAGTTAGTGTGTAATGTTGCTGTTTGAGCATAAACAATATCTGCAAAGTTACGAAGCTGAAAGTTCAATGCAAACGGAGATATCGTCTTTTAAAATTCTGGCAGTTTAATGCCTACAAAAACGGCTGGTAGGGACTACGAGTTACTTCCCGGGTTCGTGACATCACAAACACAGATAAACCCCGCCCTCGGGAAAAAGGCAGCAAAGGGGGCGAGGCCAGGCTGCGCTGCTTTAGAGAAGAGGAAGAGAACTAGAGGTGCACGTAAAAATCTGTTCATATATGAATCACGATTCTGTCTTCCAACGATTCTAATGGATTCACAAGTTTCAAAATCAATGCTCTAAAGCAGCGGTTCTTAATACTGTTCCTCGCAGCTGACCAATCTCAGCCCATCGCGTATTTCTGAGGGAGGGGCTTTATAAAAACAGGAAATAATCGAGGCGTTTGTTAGAGAAGGGACAGATCGGTGTGGAATAAAGGTAAATTATGTGAAAAATAATGCCTTTTTTAAAAAACGAAGCATGAACACATGTTAGACTGCACCCCATAAACACAATCAAGCCTAGAAAAAACCCACTGAACCACCCCTTTAAATGACCTCAAATCACCCAGAGAGTATAACCTTGTAAATACTTTAAATGTTTAATAATAAACCCAAATAGGAAACAAATGTTCTTTGTACAAACTGCAGCCCTTAACATTTTTGCCAAATAATATTGTGAATTTAAATACCTTAACCAACATATTCCTTATATTTTGATGGTTTAATTAAACTTGTAGGGTCAACAAAAGCAAATGTTGTGCAAATGTCCCCTTGGACATCACTTTTGGCCACTACTGAAGATCTGACGTGTATTTGTGTGTTTTAACAGTGCTGTGTCATTTGTTTCTTTTGTGTCTTGTAGAAGATGGATTACAGTGCCCAGTTCTGCAGGGAGGCCTCTGGTGAGCTTACCTTTAAACCCTCACCTGAGACAGTGGCTCTTGCTGCTGCCTACAGGAAAAATCCCACTCCGGGACGCTCATGGCCTGCTGCAAGGGTGAAGGACGAGGCCATCGCTCATGTGGCAGGTGACACGTCCAATCACTGAGTTAGAGCGCCCTGCAGTTTGGGGTAAAACTTTAAGTGGTTGCTTTCCAATGATGTTGGTTACGCAGCCATGGTGCTGGCCGTGCATCAGCGGGAGCGTCTGCTGTCATGCAACAGCAACAAGTATGCTGGTCTGTTTTCTGACATGATGGCTGCCATCAGCGAGCGCCGGGTTAGAGAGGGCTATGGCACACCAGCCCAGGAAGACCAGGTGCTCGTTGGATTTGGCTACTTTGCCACCATGTCCTTTAAGGACCTTTATGAGGCGACGGACCGTGACAGAAAAGGGTCCGGGGTTCACATCTCTAACAGAGTATGCAGACAGTAGAGAATGTGAAGTGTTGGGGCTTGAATGTACAAGACCGTCAGGAAAATGTCTTTCATGCTCTTTAGTCTGATATTGTGCTGTGGCCTTTATTTTTTTCACTTTGCAGATGCTTCCTTGGTGAAGGTGGACCAGCTCAGTGGCCCAGTCAATCCGTGTAGTGGAAGCCATTTGCCTGGCTCTCTGCCGGATTCACCCTGCCGGTCAGACCATTGCCGGAGTCCGGGTGAACCGATGGGCTGCCATCCTAAGGAATTACAGGATGATCCGAGATGTAGTCCTGGGCAGCCCCGGAATCATGGCCCAGATGAAATTAAAGCTCTTTGAGCTAAACCAGCTCCCAATCTCCCAAGGGTAGGTTCAGGAATTAATCGTTCATGTTTGCATCTGTTTTCATATTCATAAGCGTTTTTACACACATTTACTAATTGTTGTAATTCTTTTCTGTATGTAGCGCCCCCTGCCCTCTCGAGAGTCACTGCTCTCAAGTTCTGTTAGGGTGGAGCACCAGGTTCTGATGATATGTCTCTCGATTAGTTATATAAACTATTACACACCTCTGGTATTACTACTATTTACAAGCTAAGCCTACAGGTAAGTATGGTGAATCCAGGAAAATACATCAGGTAAGTATAAAAACTATAATGTTTTATTATCAAAATAAATAAGTGAATAAAGTCAAATCTCAATAAATATATAAATGTCAATAAATAGAAAAATATAAATAAATAGATAAATAGGTCAATAAATAAATAAATAGACTGTGTAAAAAAACAAAACAAAATAGACTATATACAGTATCAGTATCCAATGTATCAATGACAACACTTCAATAAAGGAAACTGCTCAATTAAAATTGACTGAATGAGTGAATTATTTCCAATATATCTCAGCATCTGCAGATGACTACTGAAATTAGTCCCTCTGACTATATTCAGTTTGCTGTAAGAGCAACTGGGTCAATAACAATAACCGTAACTGGCATTTAAATATCAAATAAAAATAAACAGCATATATGTGGGCCCACACACACACACACGCATTCATCAACCCCCACCGTTGCAAGCCTGGATCGTTGCTAGGGTGTGTTGTGGCCGATTAAAAACAAAACTGGCCGCTTCACTCTAACCGAGCAAAATAAAACAATACGGAGTACCTCAATACAAGTGAATGGCAAGCGGTCGAGCGTGAATAGTATACTTTGAGCACCTGCCCCTCCAAAGGTCTCTGCACGGCCCTGATGGACAATGTGAGTGATGTGCCTCAGACAACTAGCTGGAGGAGGAAGAAGAGAGCTGAAGCCATTGCACAAGGCTTCGCTCTAAAACGAGGAAAGAAATGTAACAACCCTTGCCAAAAGCCAAAGACTAAAGGCTGTCGCCATTCAAATCCTTTGCAGAACTTATTAGAGGAAGGCAGTGGAGCTTTGGCTGGTAGAATAACGGCTCTTGTTAGGCCACATATTTCTTAATAATTTTCTGTAATATTTTTTGTTTGAACTTAGTTTTCACTTAAGATATTTATACAGTTGTTCATATTTTTTAAGGCTTGCTTTCTATTTTCTACTTTTCTTTGCATGTATATATTTTTCTTTTTATATTCCATTGCTTTTTATCGTGAAATTAAAGAATTTCAAAAACAAAGAGCAGGTGTGTTTGACAGATTAATAGCATTTACTTACATTTTTTGAAGTGTGTGTAGGCCTAATGCATTTTCTGGGGTCATGGGGCCACAAAGGACAATAATTTCGGTGTCCATCTAATCTGTGGCGTTTCTCCTGCATTCTGTGAACATGTTGCGTAAACGAGTGCAACAAATACATAACTTTTGAATAGAAATCGCTTCTGACTGGAGAACAGACTTCAGCAACCCACTGCTTTTTCAGCCGGAGATCATCTATTAGATCAAACAGTGTGTGTTGATCAAACTACAAAGCATCACATTTCCAGTCTGTTCTACACAGCGAAAGAAGAGACAATATTTCAGAAGCGAGTCCGAATGACTTTGTGTGTTTGCTTTTGGGGAGCTGTTTGTGGAAGGATTATAGCCTTTTTAAATTCAAGTATGGGCTGGATGTTTGGTGAAGCCAGATCTCTAAAGCTTTGCTGACCATGTTTTATCCCACAACAGTTTTTCCCTCTCGTGCGCACACACATACCCCGAATATGTTTAGCTGAAAAGACCAGTATTTATTTAATTAACTTTACTTGGACCGATTCGCTCCCAACTACCTGCGTTTCTTCCATGAAAGAACCTTTTAAATAAATCGTTTTCCGGGTATCACACAAACATATTGCTCGTCTTTGCGTTTCTGACAGCATTGAATGGGCGTTTTTAGAGACTGATTTAAAATTCAAGAATCTCCCGAGAAGACTCTTCAATACAAGGCTTGAGGACAGCCAGCAGCATAGAGCTATAAACTCATTTCGAAGAGTATTCCTTCAAGCTCTGCTTTCAAACGAGAAAACCCCAAAGAAAGAATATTTCGTCCTGTCTTAACTTTCTCAACAATCACTTATTTCTACAATATCACACACCACATTTCATTCAATCTTTCCTTCTTTGAAGAGCCACAAACTGAGAGTTTTTGAAGACTCGCGGTAACCTGCAACACCTGCGATCAGTTATTAGCCCATTCCGTCGCTTCTTCTTCTTCTTCTTGGCTTTTAACGGCGGCTGGCAACCAGCGTAATTAGGTGCATTACCGCCACCTTCTGCTATCTTTTAGCTTGCCTTATAGTTCTTCTTACCACTGCTTGCGCTTTCTTGTATAATATTAAATTATTATAATTATGCATTCTCTTTAGAAGTTTAAAAGCCTTATTTCTAGCTCTCACAGCTTTACCACACTCATCTGTCCACCATGGAACCGCTTTCCTTGTCATTTTTCCTTTACTTTTTGGGATTGTTTCCTCTGATCCATTCGCGGAGCAGTTGTGCCTCGCCGCCGATCCTTTCCGTCCACCCGCTGAGGTTACCGCCATCTTCCGGCGGCGCCCCCCGGTTCTTCTTCTTCTTCTTCTTCTTCTTCTTCTTCTTCTTCTTCTTCTTCTTCAAATAACGTTTTATGGCCATTAGCCCATTCCACATCAGATCAGCCCATTTAAGTGAGTTGTACGCCCCAAATACACCAGTAGGGGGTGCTATAGACAGAGAGAGAAAATGTGTTTGCATATAAGACATTGCATAACTTGGGCAGAGATATTACACACACTGTTTCCAATTATCCAAGGCATTTGTTTATGTGACATAGGCCTACATTTATTACAAACACAGTGCAGCATCATCCATTATGTTACATTACATACATCATGTTTGTAAGAAGTCTTCATATTCTCTGTTAGTTTTGTTAGTGTTCACTTGGTTGTGTTAATATGCTTGTTGCATTACAGCTGTGACCTTATTTATTTGTATTTTATTTTTTCTTTAAAGCCACAGGAGCAAGAAATATTACAACATTAACTTTTAGACAATTACTTTGAAAACATTAAAGCGCGTTTTTGTTTTTGCTTTGCTCCAAAGGGTTATAATTTAAAGTAATTTATAAAATGTAAGGAATTTGGTTTTCAAAGAGCCCACGTCTTCTTATGTTTAATTTTCTAATAAAAAATTGCATAATGTATTCTTTTTTACATTACAATATGTAATTCTGAAAAGCACATGAAATACATACATTTCTATTATACATCCTAGTTTTTATGGTAATATAAGTTTTAAACGCTAACGTCCTAGCAGCGTGTATTCGTGTTTCGTCATCGACGGGCGGCGGTGATTGGCTGCGGAGCGCAGATAACCACGCCCACCCTCGCGGGCCGCTGGTGGAGAAGGGGCTCTGAGTGAGCGCACGGAGGCAGCAGCAGAAATGATGGAAGCTTGATCCCGTAAGCAGTGAACTTGTTCATTTTAAACGTGGCATGAACGGCAAAACGGAGAGAGTGCAACTTTAAGGAAAATAAACAAGAGATATGGTGGACAAAATACACGCGGTTGACTTTTCCAAGAAACATTTTGGGACGACAGCCAATGGTAGGCTAAGATATGTTTTTCTTTTAATTCAATTAAATTAAATTTTATTATAATGGTGATTGTTATGTCATTTGATTCATTGAGTTTACCCGTAACAGATAACTTAAGAAATCTTTAAGTGTCTTTTTCCCTTTGCCGCTAATTTAAAATGATCCCATTACTAATAATTTTGTATAGCCTAATGTACCACTTACCGTATTTATAGTAGGAAGGATGAAGTCTTGTGTTTCTATCTGTCTTTTTTTCTGTTTTCGGCGAGAAATAAATACAGAAGGAGAGATTTTAGGAGGAGAGGAGTCAACAACAGGAAAGTTTTTATTTGGACATGGGTCACTGGTCTTTAAGTGCTTGTAAAATGTGAACTTTTGAACTTGGGGAAACCTGCACCCCCACCCAGCAAACTCTAGAATCATTTAGGAATTTGAGGCCACATTACATCTTTATCTAAACAGCCTCCTTATCTGTACCACACCACCCAAATTTTTTTCAAAAAGACTCTTTTCCATATAATAAAGGTGGATAGGAACTGAGGCTGTCATACTCCAGAAAAGACAAAAATAAATCTACAAAATGCATTGTAGCAGGACAAGAATCGCCATGGTCTGATGTCACAGCAGCCCTTCTTCTTCTTCTTCTTCTTCTTCTTCTTCTTCTTCTTCTTCTTCTTCTTCTTCTTCTTCTTCTTCTTCTTCTTCTTCTTCTTCTTCTTCTTCTTCTTCTTCTTCTTCTTCTTCTTCTTCTTCTTCTTCTTCTTCTTCTTCTTCTTCTTCTTCTTCTTCTTCTTCTTCTTCTTCTTCTTCTTCTTCTTCTTCTTCTTCTTCTTCTTCTTCTTCTTCTTCTTCTTCTTCTTCTTCTTCTTCTTCTTCTTCTTCTTCTTCTTCTTCTTCTTCTTCTTCTTCTTCTTCTTCTTCTTCTTCTTCTTCTTCTTCTTCTTCTTCTTCTTCTTCTTCTTCTTCTTCTTCTTCTTCTTCTTCTTCTTCTTCTTCTTCTTCTTCTTCTTCTTCTTCTTCTTCTTCTTCTTCTTCTTCTTCTTCTTCTTCTTCTTCTTCTTCTTCTTCTTCTTCTTCTTCTTCTTCTTCTTCTTCTTCTTCTTCTTCTTCTTCTTCTTCTTCTTCTTCTTCTTCTTCTTCTTCTTCTTCTTCTTCTTCTTCTTCTTCTTCTTCTTCTTCTTCTTCTTCTTCTTCTTCTTCTTCTTCTTCTTCTTCTTCTTCTTCTTCTTCTTCTTCTTCTTCTTCTTCTTCTTCTTCTTCTTCTTCTTCTTCTTCTTCTTCTTCTTCTTCTTCTTCTTCTTCTTCTTCTTCTTCTTCTTCTTCTTCTTCTTCTTCTTCTTCTTCTTCTTCTTCTTCTTCTTCTTCTTCTTCTTCTTCTTCTTCTTCTTCTTCTTCTTCTTCTTCTTCTTCTTCTTCTTCTTCTTCTTCTTCTTCTTCTTCTTCTTCTTCTTCTTCTTCTTCTTCTTCTTCTTCTTCTTCTTCTTCTTCTTCTTCTTCTTCTTCTTCTTCTTCTTCTTCTTCTTCTTCTTCTTCTTCTTCTTCTTCTTCTTCTTCTTCTTCTTCTTCTTCTTCTTCTTCTTCTTCTTCTTCTTCTTCTTCTTCTTCTTCTTCTTCTTCTTCTTCTTCTTCTTCTTCTTCTTCTTCTTCTTCTTCTTCTTCTTCTTCTTCTTCTTCTTCTTCTTCTTCTTCTTCTTCTTCTTCTTCTTCTTCTTCTTCTTCTTCTTCTTCTTCTTCTTCTTCTTCTTCTTCTTCTTCTTCTTCTTCTTCTTCTTCTTCTTCTTCTTCTTCTTCTTCTTCTTCTTCTTCTTCTTCTTCTTCTTCTTCTTCTTCTTCTTCTTCTTCTTCTTCTTCTTCTTCTTCTTCTTCTTCTTCTTCTTCTTCTTCTTCTTCTTCTTCTTCTTCTTCTTCTTCTTCTTCTTCTTCTTCTTCTTCTTCTTCTTCTTCTTCTTCTTCTTCTTCAAATAACGTTTTATGGCCATTAGCCCATTCCACATCAGATCAGCCCATTTAAGTGAGTTGTACGCCCCAAATACACCAGTAGGGGGTGCTATAGACAGAGAGAGAAAATGTGTTTGCATATAAGACATTGCATAACTTGGGCAGAGATATTACACACACTGTTTCCAATTATCCAAGGCATTTGTTTATGTGACATAGGCCTACATTTATTACAAACACAGTGCAGCATCATCCATTATGTTACATTACATACATCATGTTTGTAAGAAGTCTTCATATTCTCTGTTAGTTTTGTTAGTGTTCACTTGGTTGTGTTAATATGCTTGTTGCATTACAGCTGTGACCTTATTTATTTGTATTTTATTTTTTCTTTAAAGCCACAGGAGCAAGAAATATTACAACATTAACTTTTAGACAATTACTTTGAAAACATTAAAGCGCGTTTTTGTTTTTGCTTTGCTCCAAAGGGTTATAATTTAAAGTAATTTATAAAATGTAAGGAATTTGGTTTTCAAAGAGCCCACGTCTTCTTATGTTTAATTTTCTAATAAAAAATTGCATAATGTATTCTTTTTTACATTACAATATGTAATTCTGAAAAGCACATGAAATACATACATTTCTATTATACATCCTAGTTTTTATGGTAATATAAGTTTTAAACGCTAACGTCCTAGCAGCGTGTATTCGTGTTTCGTCATCGACGGGCGGCGGTGATTGGCTGCGGAGCGCAGATAACCACGCCCACCCTCGCGGGCCGCTGGTGGAGAAGGGGCTCTGAGTGAGCGCACGGAGGCAGCAGCAGAAATGATGGAAGCTTGATCCCGTAAGCAGTGAACTTGTTCATTTTAAACGTGGCATGAACGGCAAAACGGAGAGAGTGCAACTTTAAGGAAAATAAACAAGAGATATGGTGGACAAAATACACGCGGTTGACTTTTCCAAGAAACATTTTGGGACGACAGCCAATGGTAGGCTAAGATATGTTTTTCTTTTAATTCAATTAAATTAAATTTTATTATAATGGTGATTGTTATGTCATTTGATTCATTGAGTTTACCCGTAACAGATAACTTAAGAAATCTTTAAGTGTCTTTTTCCCTTTGCCGCTAATTTAAAATGATCCCATTACTAATAATTTTGTATAGCCTAATGTACCACTTACCGTATTTATAGTAGGAAGGATGAAGTCTTGTGTTTCTATCTGTCTTTTTTTCTGTTTTCGGCGAGAAATAAATACAGAAGGAGAGATTTTAGGAGGAGAGGAGTCAACAACAGGAAAGTTTTTATTTGGACATGGGTCACTGGTCTTTAAGTGCTTGTAAAATGTGAACTTTTGAACTTGGGGAAACCTGCACCCCCACCCAGCAAACTCTAGAATCATTTAGGAATTTGAGGCCACATTACATCTTTATCTAAACAGCCTCCTTATCTGTACCACACCACCCAAATTTTTTTCAAAAAGACTCTTTTCCATATAATAAAGGTGGATAGGAACTGAGGCTGTCATACTCCAGAAAAGACAAAAATAAATCTACAAAATGCATTGTAGCAGGACAAGAATCGCCATGGTCTGATGTCACAGCAGCCGTGCTATATTTGAATATATGTGGACATGTTGAGAGTTATGGCAGAGGGGAATTTTTTTAATGATGAATTATATAATTTATTTATTTATTTGTTTTAAATTTCAGTCTGTCCTTGGAAGCGCACATATCGCATTGTGGACTTTTTGGACTTTTATGGTGTTTTCATCATTTTTGGAGCTCAACAGTGTCAGTTCCCATTCACGTTTGAACTATGGAAAAGAGCAGCTTTTCTGCTAAAGTTCTTTTGTGTTCAGCAAATGAAATCGTAAGGGTTTGGAATGACTTGAGGGTGAATAAATGATGCCAGTATGTTGAGAGGATCAATTCTTTTAATGTAATTTTGTATTTTTTTTTTTTTAGTTGAATTATAGTCTGATCAATGCAGCTCTAGAGAATTAAAGATTTCAAATAATCCATTTGCATATGTTACACCAAATTACATCAGGATTGTCAAATAGTTACAAGTGTGTCTGTGATTGAAAAAATATGCCAACTAACACAACAGGTGAATAGTACCACCTATTTTTTTAAGGTGTTGGACAGAGAAAATTAGCCTGTGAGAATTGAATGAGCTGTTTATCTCTTGTCCTTCAAACCCCCAACCATAAAGCCATTCTTCCTTGTAACTGCATTAAATGTCCCAGGAGACCCCAGATGTCAAATACAGTGGCGTCAGTCGGGTCACTTGTTCTTATTCTCTAAGGTTTGTAAACAGCCAATCAATAGAGGCATTCAAACCAGTCTTTACACATTGGGGCTTCTATCACAATATGGCTTTATATAATAAGTATCTTCACCCTCTTTGTTTGATAAAGTGTAAATTTGCTTGGAATCTAGAGCCAGGTGGTTCATAATTGCACGTGATGTAACAGGTTGCCATACATTAAAATTATCCATGCCACCATAGTTTTTTTTTTTTTTCTAATCTAAATGAAATCATTGTTTTACTCCACAACTCAGCAAATGCGGCGAGAGTTAGAGATGGGATGGGTTTCTTATCGACACCTTGCGATAATTGGCATAGGTAGGAGAGATTAGAGCCATAAAATTCAGTTGTTTGATCTCAGAGGGCTGTCTGATGATCTTTTGCCCAAAGGCAGAAGGAAAGAGCATCTTACTGGGTCATGTTGTGTAGACTGCAACCTAATGCCAGGAAGCTGAGGTGATATGCAGAGCCATTGCTATGCTAATGGACCCTTTTAATGTCACACAGCCCAAGGTCATTCGCCTTCCACCTTTGGCTTGTATAGAAGAGTGAAGGGTGAATGCTAACCTCTCATGTGGCTGGCGGTCAGATGTGGTTCATATATATATATATATATATATATATATATATATATTTTTTTTTTTTTTT